CTGCGGCTTTCTGTCCTTCATCTGTATTTCACTCCTTAATCACCTCGATAACCCGTGGAAGCAAGTGAGAATACGCTGTCTTTTCACAGATGAAGAGACGGGCTCAGTGGAAAAGCTGGGGGGCGGTGGTAAAGCCCTCGACATCTTTCCCTTTCCACCTATGAAAATCCATCTACGTGCCCTTGTGTCTTGCCCGGCCGACACCGTCTCGTGAAACACGATGTGTGCCTTCTACGGAATTCTACATTTTCTAGGAGCCACGCTGGAAACTAACAAGAAATCAGTGAGCGTTAGCTTCGTATTTCTTTAACCCCATATATGAAAAAATATTCTCATTTCACCGTGGGGTCAGTAGAAAAATTACAGGGAGGACTGTACGTCCCGTGCTCACAGCGGATCTTTGAAAGCTGCTGTGTGTTTTACACCCTCAGCCGGGACGAGCCACGTTTCAGGTGCTCGGTGGCCGCATGTGGCCAGTGGCCACGTTGGACAGTGCCGGGATGCTGCTGCCTGCTTCACAGACGTGGCCTGCGAGTGAGCTGCTGTGTGCAGAGTGCTTAGGACACTATGTGCAGGACCCAGCAAGCGCCTGATCGGTGTCTGCCTTCATTACAGTCAGCGCTGCCGAGGCGTGGGGAGCCCCGGTGGCGTCGACTGAACGAACGTACAACGTGCTGAAGTCTCGCTCTTGGGCATCTGTGGCATCATATGCTCCCGGCTCCAAACCTCCTTCCTCCTTTTGCTCTGCTGGCTGTGCTCGGCAAGCCTCCCACCCCCTCTCAGGGGCTAAGCCCAGCCTGGGCCATTGCTGTCTCGATTTCCTCGCTCCCATCTGGAAACCACAACGCGCGCAGCAGCCCCTCCCTGCGGCCCAGAGAGATGGCCGAGGTTTCCGGGCGGAATCCCAGGCGCAAAAATCCCCGTACGGAGCTGAAGGCAGCCTCCCGGCCTGTGGAGGCTTTGCTGGCGCGGGGCAGGGGCCTCTGCTAAAAGCTGGGGGAGGTGAGTCGGCACACAGGCCCCCGGAGGTAGTGCCCGGGGCCGCGGTCGGGGTCTGGGGCTCCAGGGAGCACTGCTCCCACGCCCGTCCCGGAAGGCCAGGCTTCGCCGAGCGCCCTCGCCGGGTGGAAAATGCCCGTCCGTGCCGCGCTCGGGCCCCCGACGTCCCGGGCAAGCGGCAAGCGGGAGGGGCCGCAGCCGGGAGCAGAGCGTCTAAGTCGCAGGCAGCGGCTCTGAGCAGGGGCCTGGGGTGGGGTTTGAAGCGCTGGCTCGGAGCCCAAGCAACGGACGGGAGGCGTAAAGAAGGCCTGTCGTTTCTGTTCTCACACTGTGCAACGGGGCATGTGCCACGTCCCGGGCCACCCTGCTCGGCGGCGGGTCCTGGAAGCGAAGGACGGACTTGCGTTTCACCCGCAGCGCGTCCCCCCGTTAGGCACGCGCGCGCGCGTGCACACACACCCGCGGCGATTTGCAACCTCGAACGAGCCACGATGTCTAACGCACGTGCACACACACACCTGTGCACGCGCCACGTACATTTATATGGGGGAGGGGATGCGGGCCTCGCCTGTACACAGGGTACCAGGACCTAAGGCGGGCCCAGGGCTTTATCGGTACAGGATTTGTCCACCTAGTCGCAGGCTTCGGAGAGGCCCCCCTGGAGCAGTCCCGCGGTCCCTCCCCAGCAGCAGGGAGGGCCCAGGTCATTAGCCCCAGTCTTCAAGAGCAGACGGCGAGGCCCAGCGTGGCCAAGGAAGCTGCTCTACCCGCCGGCGGTAGAGCCTGCACCCCACCCCTCTCTCCCGGATCGTACCATCCCTGCCGCCTCTCGTCCCCACACGTGGGCGGCTGTCACCTGTCTCGCTCGCCCTGTAAGCGCCCTAGGGGCAGAAACCGCGAGCCCCTCGTTCCTGCACGAGGACACGGCCGAGGGAGGCAGCAGGCTGTGTCGCAAAGAGCGGGACGGAGGCTCCACATCGGTCACTGCTGGTCACCGGCTGTGCGACCTCGGGCAAATCGCCTAATCTCTCTGACCTTCGGTTTCTGCGTCCACAGAGAGGGATGATCACACCAGCTTCACGGTATTGCCATGAGACTTGTAGGAGGTGCTCAGTAAATGCGGGCGCACGTCTGTCGGATGAACCGAGGAGGGTCTTACACGTACACACAAAGAGCACCTGGCAGGGGCGTGACAGTACCCACTAATTGTGGCCCCTCTCTCTTAGCACAAGGGGCTGATCTCTGTCCACGTAGAAGGAAGAAATGAACAGAGATGGAAAAGCCAGTCGCGTCTGTAATACGGCTTTATCGGATATCACGTTCCCAGGAGACTTGGCCGAGCTCCTGAGCTCCCTGCCCCGGCTTCCTCCGTTCGTCTCCTCCTGGTGGACATCTTCCTCCTTCAGTCACAGAACCTTTGGATAATCCTTCCCTGTCTGACAGGGCGAGTCTTCCCTCAGAACTCCACTTCCTCGAAGTTTTCCAGGCAATTGTCACAAACCCTTTCTTCCGTATGAGCATCCATGGTCATTTTTTCCACTGAAGTCCCACCGGGCCCCTGGAAGGACTCGCAGTCCCATTATCTGTCAGTTTTACGAGGATGGTCGTGTATGGGGTTTGGCTGGAAGGCAAAGACCTGGCTGCCATCTGTCTCAGAGCCCTCACCGGGTTAGGATGCCGGGAGAGCTCTCCCGCGGGGCCTTGCGTGGGAGCTCCTGAATCTGGACACCAGTGTGGGCCGGGTAGGGTTGGGTGCCCAGAGAAGGTCCCCAGGCGGGGGCTGCGTGTAGGAGAGGTGCCCACCTCCTCCCGTCCCGTTGCCCGGGTCTGTCTGGACTCTTGGCCGCTGAGCTGTGTGTGCCCTTGGCTGAGCCCGTGGAAACGGACGGGCTCTCCCTTCCCCAGCACCACCCGTTCTGGGAGGTACCGGGCTCCAGTGTGTGTGGACCTGCGCACGGCCCCTTTCCTCCTTCTCACCCAGACACGTGCTGCCCTGCACCTCGCACCTCTTCTCCATCCAGTCCTTGTCCTCCCAGCCACAGCAACCCCGAAGGAAGGCTGACCTGGCCCCTTGTGGTTCCCCCAGCCTATAGGGAATGCTCGGTTTCCCTCCTGAGCTAGGAAAGCTCTGGAAGAATGAGCAGGATTTGCAAGGGAAGATCTGAAAATCTGAGCCCTGGCCACTTACTAGTTGGGAGACCCCGGGAAAGTCCCTCACTTGCTCTAAGCCTCCATTCCTTTGTTCTATTTATTTAAAACATGTTTAAAGTTTATTTTTTATTTTATTTTATTTGAGAGGGAGAGGGAGAGGGAGAGAGAACAAGCGGGGGAGGGGCAGAGAGAGAGAGGGAGACACAGAATTGGAAGCAGGCCCCAGGCTCTGAGCCATCAGCCCAGAGCCCGACGCGGGGCTCGAACCCGCAAACCGTGAGATCGTGACCTGAGCCGAAGCCGGACGCTCAACCAACGAGCCACCACCCAGCACCCCTCTTTCTTTAAGAAAATGAAGTTAGTATCTGGGTTTTGGAGCAAGGCTTGGCACCAACTATGGGGGGGGGGCACCATGAAGGTTCAAAGGATTTCACAACAAATCACACAGATACACTCCCTGCCCTCCCCAACCATACGGCGCTTGGGGGACCATCGGTCACCCAGCTCCAGAGGCACCGGGGCGGTGGCCGGCCGCCAGCTCTCAGCCTCAGATCTGGGTGAATCGGAACCAGCGTCTTTGAACCGGTGGGCGACTAGCTTTACCCCCGAGCCTCAGCTCCCTCATCCACAGATGGGGACGTTGGTCCCAAAAGAAGGTGTCCCTGTGAGCGGGTAACGAAGCCTTTCTTGCCACCTTCCCTCTGTCTCTCGGCTTTACTGTTGGCAGCAAGCTCCGGCCCGGGCTGTGGGATCTTGGATTCGGAAGCTCTTTCCAGAAGCCCACCTCCTGCCCGCCCGGGACCTGCCTGTACACCTTAAAGCCAGCAGGCTGGCTGTGTTCTGCCACGTGTCTTACTCCCCTGGCTTCTTGAAGGTGCAGACCCCTCCTCCCTTCCCTTTGGGTTGCCCTGGGGTGGAGAGAGGAGGAGAGAGAACCCTCAGGATCCCCCCCCCCCCGGCAACAGGCTTCATGCACAGGGCCCCACCGTGCACGCTTCCTAAGCTATCGATGGCTGTGCCAGCCCAAGGCGCCAGCGGCTGGGGTTAGAAATCGCCCAAAGCAATGTTTGCTCAAGAGAGGCGCTTTTGTTGAAAGCTGGCATTTCCCTTTCCAAATTCTCTCGGTGTTTTCCGACTCCTCTCCTTGTAGTATCTCCAGCATTTGGAGACTCATGTTCCAAACCCGAGACTTCACGAATCGCCTGCCAACTTCCTCGCTTCGCGCTGCTCGGGGAAGAGTGACTGGCCCAAGGTCACACGGCCAGCCCTGGGCAGGGCTGGCACGGGAGTCCGGGCCCCCGACGCCCCGCTCCACCAAGTGCCCCTTTCCTGCTGCGTTTCAGGTGGGAAAGAAGGGCGCAGATCGCCTGTTTGCTTTGTCCCGCCCCCCCGGGGGCTGCCTCCCCGACCCCAAGCATGAGGGGATCAGCCGACCCCGTGCAGCCGCGGCTCTCCCCCTGGCCGCTATGTGGGCACCTCCTTGGCCCCACACTTCCAGCCCCTCTTCATCTGGCCCGCCATGCCGCAGAACCGGCTGGAGAAGGGATCTGGGTCCCCTGTCTGAGCCCCTCCAAGCAGGACTCACCGTGGCCAGGGCGCTGCCCGCGGCTGCTGCTGTCACTGCCACCAGCGTCCAGGGCAGGAACCACCTCATGCCTGGGAGTCAGGGGCAAAGGCATCTACCGAGCAGCCCAGAGGATCCGGCCGCCTCTCGGGGGAGCTGGGCCGAGAGACTGGCCTGGCCCATCAGGAGTACCAGATATGTCTCTTCCCACAGGCCTGGGGCGGGGGGCGGGGGGGTTATTAAAGCAAGATCTGACGTCAGAGTTAAGGACAAACCCTGCATTTTCCTCTGAAGAAACTTTTCCTGCCTCTCTCTCTCTCTCTCTCTTTTTTTTTTTTCCTTTCTTCCCTCTGTCCCCACCTCCAGCCCAAGCTTGGCCAGCCTCTCCGGCTCTGACAGCTCTTAAAGGGAAAGTTACAGGGCTATGATTTCACACTGGGGCAGTAAATTCTCACGGAAGGAGCCGGGGCCATCCTGCCAAGGTATTTCACGAAGGTGGGGGGGGGGGGGTCGCGGGGGGGGGGGGGGGGGGGGATGCCAGGAGGAGGCAGAGATACAGTTACCCCGGCGGGCGGGCTGGGGGAACCTCTGAACGTGCTCCCAGTGGGGGAAACAAACTCCCTCCCATTTCTTCGGGCTGTTCCTGCTTCTGGCTTTCATTTGCCATCATTCACTCTTCTCTCCTTGGCTGCGGATGGCTTTGAGTGCAGCCATCTAGAAATGATAGGAATTTACAAATGAACTCAGCCCTGGGGCTCAGGCTCTCGCCCTCCCTCCACGACAAACGAAAACCACGGTTTCGCCAATTTACGGGAGTTCCCTTTGCCTCTCATCAGCCAGAAGCCTTCTGGTGCCGGCCCCGTCTCCCCATGTCTGGGCCCTTGTTATATCCCTGGTGGGTTTGGGTGGTCAGCCTCCCCCCTGCTGGATATTGCCACTCACGGCAGGGGTCTCCCCCGGGGCCCCGTCTACCCCCGTGGAGCTCCCTCAAGCCCTGTGTGGATGAAAGCAACAGCCCCCCCCTTCTGGCCCCCCAACATCCTCTACGATTCCCCAAGGGCATCAGAGCAAACGTTGGAAAACCCAACCAAGATCCCTCCTGGCTGGAGCTTCCCCGAGCCTGCCCGTCGACTCACGTGGAATCCCCAGTCCCGGCGGGCCGCCCGAGCCCTCCCTGCACACTCCTCTTTCCACTCCGCCTGTACTACCCTCAACCACGCTGGCTTCCTTGGTCTTCCCCTCACGCCCCAACGAGGTCCCATCTCTGGGCTCCAAGGGGACTCCCTGCCCTGTGTTTTCCCTCAGCAGTTACTTCCTTTCTTTTTCTTTCCCTGCAGCCTACGAAGGGAATACGGGAGCACGCACGGCTGCTCGGCAGTGGTGTAGGTTTGCGCGAGGGAGTTCGTGACCCCAACGGTGACTCCGACGGTCTCTCCATTTGTCGGCCTCGGACTGGGCCTCTCACCCGATTCTGGCCAGTAAGACATAGAGAGAAATCTGCTGGGGGCTCCTAGAAGGGATGGCATCCCTTGGGAGGAGAAAAAAAAAACAACAACGGTCTACTCATTTTCTTCTTAACTTGTGCGCAAAGTTGATGGCTGGAGCCACAGCAGTCATATCGAGTACGTGAGGCACAAGCTTGAGGATGAAAAGCCAACGTGCCGAGGCTGGAGGAGCAGAAAAGAGAAGAGGTTGGGTCTTTGGGGTTTTGTAGTGTTACTGCACCAAACCTGGAACAGCTACCTCGAGGTTCAGCGAACCCCTGATGGACACCGTCGGCCCTGTGCCATGAGATCTCTCATGACCGTAAGGTAGACGGAGTGGAAACTCAGAGATGCTAAGTGATTTCAGGGCACGCGCCAAGCCAGGGTCAGGCCTGGGGCCGGGACCACAGTCTCTGGACCGTGACGAGACAGAGTCCGGACGGGGCACTTCCAAGCGAACAAGTTGACCTGCCAGCTCCTGTCGGTGTTCTCTGATGGGAGCCGCGCGGAACCCCGAGACCGCGACAAGCAGTTGGAACTGACAACCCCGAAGCATGATACCGTGCTGGTCCCTCGTGCCTGCTGGTGAAGCCCCCAGTGGCCCGGCCGGCCCCGCTGCAGGTGGCTGTTCTTCAGCCCCGGTGACACCTGGAGGGCGGTGACACGGTGACTCGGGCCGAGTGGCGGGTTAGGAAGCAAGACCCCTGAGGTACCCCCACGGTTCCGCCGCTTCCCGGGGGGGCCTTGGGCAACCGGCAACATCTCTGCACCTCGGTTTCCCTTGTTTAAAGAAACAGGATTGCGTTAGCGCCTCACCTACAGGGTCATCAGGGGCCCTGAAGGAGGCGGTGAGGTGTGGCCACCCGTGGTCGGAGGAGTCAGAACGGGCGGCAGCCGAGGCCGGTATGATGGGGTCGTCCTACGTCCATCCTGTTCCCGGGATTCAGCATCTCGAACGATCTCACAGGGCGGCCTGGGTATGTGCCTGGGTTCACCCTCGGCGAATGGGGGCCAGGCACTTCCCACACACGAGCCGGACAAACTCAAAACGACTGGCTGGTGGTGACGGGGACACCAGCTGCCGCTTGTGACGCATCCGTCACGTCCCAGCGACACTTGCTACCTCGCCGCATCCCCATCTTGGTTCATCCTCGCGGCTGACATCTCACTGTCATTGTCCCCTTTTGCAGATGAGGAAACTGAGGCCTGGCCGCGGCCACTCAGCTGGTGCAGGGCAAAACTGGGATCGGAACTCACACCCGTGTGGCTTCGAAACAAGCTCTTTTTTCAAGTAGACCAAGGTGCCTCACGTGTTGAACGAGGAGATGAGTCAACACAGAAAGGAATGAGCACGGTAGAAGGACAGGCAGACGGACAGACGGATGCACGCGTGGGGAGATGAAACCCCTGTCTGAAACATTCCGGCTCCCAGGCTTTCCCGGGCTGGGCTCCACATCTCCGTTTTCCACACCCCGTCTCCTTCCCCAACCACTCTGCCAACACAGGCCCTGGTTGGTCTCGCAGACTGTGAGGTCCGAGGGCCACAGCAGACCCACATCTTCCTCTGTGCTGTGTCCCCAGAAGCCACACAGATTCCGGCATAGCACGTGCCTGAGGCCTACTGTGGGTGGGAGGTCACATGAGCACATGAGCAGATGGAGAGGTGGTGAGGGATGTATGGGTTTGATGAAGGAAGGAAGGAAGGGGAGGAGGGAGGGAGGGAGGAAAGGGAGGGAGGGAGAGAGGGAGGAGGGAAGAGGGAGGGAGGGAGGGAAGAAGGGAAGGAGGAAGGAAGGAAAGAAGGGGGAGAAGGAAGGGAGGGAGGAAGGGAGGGAAGGGAGGACACTTGGAGGAGGAGACAAAGGACCCATGTGTCTGTCTGGCCACCCGGTGCTCCCCAAAGATCCTGAAGAGTGTGCGGTGCATAGTAGATCTTCAGAAACTCTTTGCTGAGAGGCAGCCAGGGAGTAATTGAAAGGTGGGGGCCCGGCAGGGCAGTGTCCTGGCAGGTCCAGGTGACAGCAGGAGTGTGTGGGGTGGGGCGAAGGCGACATCCTGCCTTTTCGCAGGCATGAGGCCCGGGGACGTCACACAGGGGTATTTCTTTCCATCCTCCTTGGTACTTTATTTGTAGGGGTGCTGTGGAAGGTTCACGGCAAACTGCCAGGGCCACACGGGGCCCCATCCATACTTAGCATTGTCTCCTCTCTCCTACTCACCCCTGAGCTCCACACCTCTCCCCCCCCCCCCCCCCCCAGCCAGGGTCTGCACCCTTGAACTCGTGTTATCTGTGCGTATGCGTCTCCGTAAAATACGTCGTGAGGTTTTAACTCAATCATCGCGCACGAAGCATTTTCCGTTCCCTGAGCTCTGCTCTGAGTGCCTAGCAGGGAGGGTAGGTGTGCTGATCTCGCGCCTCTTTACATTTGGAGAAACCGAGGCACAGAGCGCTAAAAGATCAGCAAACAAGTAACAGAGCCCAGATTCGAGGCCGGCGCGTGCGCTCTGCGTCTCGCGCGCTTGTGACTTTTTACTCGGGAAGGAGTCGGGGGGGGGTGGGGGGACGCGGCCTCGGACGGCCTCCTTCCAGCGCCCGTGTTCCCACTCCCTTCCGTAGATGTCAGAAATCTCCGTTCCCTGTCTCCAGCGTGCTGTGCCTCGGTTTCCCCAGTGCGCGAGCTTCAGGCTCCACCTCATCCCGTCCCCCTCCTGGGGGGCCCTCCCGCGACCTGCAACTCGCCACCGAGTTTGTCTGGGATTCGGGCCTCACCATTACTTGTCGCCGCGGCCGATGCCACCCCCATGTGGCGGACGCGCAGGCCTGGGCCGGATCCTGCCGCCTGCCGCCTGCCCGTTCATCTGCTGTGTGGCTTCGGAGAAGTCACGTAACCTCTCTGTGGGCTGGTTTCTTTGCATCTAAAGCAGGGACGAGAGGGGTACAGACACCCTGAACCGTTCGTGGGCCAGAGTCAGTGCTGCGTCAGGGTGCGTCCGACAAGCTTAGCGCATGGTGAGCGCTCGGTAGAACCCTCAGCTGTGACACATATCTCACGTGGCCTCAGTGTGGGAAGCCCGGGGGTCTGGACAAGGTCCCGCATCCAGACCTGACACACAGGAGGTGCTGAAGAGGTCTGTGGCCGAGGACAGGAAAGGCGGACCGGGCCGTGTTTAGCTCAAGCCTCCTTCCCAGAGGCCTCTGCTTCCGCCTCTCCCGGGGTCCCTGCCTCCAGCTGGTTGCGTGTTGTTTCTTAGCCTGAGCACGGCTTCTAGAAACTTTCTCCAGCAGACCTCCCAGAGCTGCAGATAAATTCCAAAGAGGGACTGGAGGAGGGGGTTCAAGAGCAGAGGCAAATTGGGAGCATTCCTGTGCCAAACAGTAAGGCCGCCTTGACCAGAACCAGATGCACAGAAGATTCCAGACGCTCTCAGGACCAGGCGCCCAGGAAGCCCCAGATCTGTTCCCAGCCTGTTTGTCATTTGTTTGTCCCACGAATGCAGGCAGCGTGTGTCTGGGGGCTGCTCAGACACACACAGCACACCCCCACCTGGGAAGCAGAGGCAACCCGGTTCGGGTGGCAGAGGAGGGGGAGGTGGGGCGCCTTGCCTCCCCCCCCGCCCTCCATGCTTGCTCGGTGGCCCGGGTGGGGCTCTGCTCTCTTCCCGGGGCCCGAGCAAGAATGGAAGAACCCTTGAAGGATGACCCTGGACTCCAGGTCTGCTTAGATTCCAAGGGGTCGAGATAACGGTCCCTCATGCCCAGTGGAAACATCTAGGTCGGCTCCGGGAGGCTGGAGTCATGGGCAGCCCCTGATTGGCTCCCCTGCTCACTACTTGGTTCTGGAGCAGTGACTGACCTGGGCAGGAGACCACGTCTAGTGTCAGCCTTGGAAACAGGTGGGGACCCCCAGGACCCCTCACTTCTCACCTGGGAAGGTAGAGGGGAAAGGCGAGGGTGCTGGGGTCAGGCCGGTCTTTGTTACGTACCAGGTGGCAGATCTTGGGAAAGCCACGTCCCTTCCGAGCCTCAGTTTTCCTGTCTGTAAAATGGGGGTGCCGATCCCAGTGACCTCCTAGGGCCATGACCGGAGACCGAATCACTGTTTAGCATGTGGTGGATGCTGAATAAATGGCTGGGATTAATACGACTTTTGCTCTTTATCACAGAGCCCCGCCTGGGTCCCCGCCTGGGTCACCCTGAGCCACCCCTGGGTCTCCTCCTCAGCAAGGCTGGGGTTGGGACCCTCACCCGGATCAGGATAGGAAGGTTCCCCGTGGTGATGCCCACCTCTGAAAATCACAATGATGACTCCGTCACCGTGGACTCACTTCGTCAGTTCTGCACACCTGTTCGTGCTCTTTCCGCGTTTGGTTTCTTTGGCTCCGTCTGTCTGTGAGATTCATCCTCGTGGCTTCTCCGGCCACTGTTGTCCCCGCGTGCAGGGCGGTGGGGCCGGGAGGGGGGCGTTGTACCTCTGCGATGCGGTTCTGGTACGTGGTCCGGCCTCAGAGCCTAACTGTGGGGCCTGGCCCTTCCCTCTGCCGTGGGGGACCCAGCTGGGACTCTGCCTCTGTGTCCAGCTTTCACCCCTGTTGCCCTGGACCTGGGATTCCCGGCTGGATGGGAGGCAGCAGGGACACTGTCCCAGAACCGACCACGCCTCTCCATCCCTGTGCCCCCTCTGAGCTGACCCCGTGCTTCGCGTGCAGTGGTGACTCCGTAGATGTGAATTATGCGAATAAACCTCCCTCGCCCTCTTAGAAGAAGACCGCGTCATCTACCTCATGGGATTTCAGTGGCTCTTAAAGAAAGCGTGCACCTCTCTGTGTTCCAGATTCCTGTGAAAGTTGGTGGCGTGGGTTAATTCTCTGTGCTGGCTGCTCGCCCAACCCTTCCCCATGTTTTTTGTGTGTTTGTTTTTTAAGGCTTAATTCTTTTAGTTTGAGGTTCAAAATAAAGTTGAAAGGTGCAGAGATTTCCCTTATGCCCAGTGGCCATATACAGGCATATCTACCCTCATGATCAATGTCACCCACCAACATGACACATTTTTTTTTTTTTTTTTTTTTAACTAGGGATGAACCTACGTTGACTCATCGTGATCACCCAACGCCCACGGGTACATGAGGATTCATTCTTGGTGCTGTGCACTCTGTAGGTGTGGACAGACACACAATGGCATCCATTAAAATATCATAGAGTATTCTCACCGCCCTAAAAATCCTCTGGGCTCCGTTCATCCATCTCCCCTCACGCCAACCCTTGGCCATCACTGACTTTTTTTTTTTACTCTCTCCATCGTTTTGCCTTTTTCAGGGTGTTCTAGAATTGGAATCGTGCAGTATCTAGCCTTTTCAGATTGACCTCTTGTGCTTGGTAATATGTTCTGAAGTTTCCTCCATGTCTCCTTATGCCTTGATAGCTCGTTCCCTTTTTAGTGCTGAATAATATTCTACTTCCTGTATATACTACAGTTTATTTATCCATCCACCTGCTAAAGGCCGTCATGGTTGCTTCCAAGTTTGGCAGCTAGGAATAAGGCTGCAATAAACATCTGTGTGCGGGCTTTTGTGTGGCCATAGGTTTTCAACCCCTTTGGGTAAATACCAAGGGGTGAAGCTGTTGGATCGTATGGTAAGAGTATGTTTACTTATTTATTTATGTATTTTTAATGTTTATTTATTCTTGAGAGAGAGAGAGAGAGGTAGAGGAGCAGAGAGAGAGGGAGACACAGAATCGGAAGCAGGCCCCAGGCTCCGAGATGTCAGCACAGAGCCTGACGCGGGGCTCGAACCCACCACCCGTGAGATCGTGACCCGAGCCGAAGTCGGACGCTCGACCGACTGAGCCATCCAGGTGCCCCAAGGGTATGTTTAATTTTTTAAGACATCACCAAATTGTCTTCCAAAGTGGCCGCACCATTTTGGATCTCCACCATCAGGTTATGAGGGCTGCTCCTCTCGCTCCGTATCCTTGTCTGCATTTGGTTTTGTCAACGTGCCGGATTTGGGCCGTTCTAGTAGGTGATGGAGCCATCTCTCACTGTTGCTTTAATCTTCCCATGGTTTTTGTTTTGTTGTTTAAGTTTATTTATTTGTTTATGTGGAGAGAGACAGAAACAGCATGAGGCGGGGAGGGGCAGAGAGAGGGAGAGAGAGATAAGTCCAGGCAGGCCCCGTGCTGCTAGAGCAGAGCCCGAGGTGGGTCTCGAACCCACGAACCTATGAGGTCACGATCTGAGCCGAAACTAAGAGTCAGATGCTCAACCGACGGAGCCACCCAGGTGCCCCAATCCTCCCATGGTTTCATTCATGACCTCAGAACCACGGGATGAAGCAGGTGCTGACTTCATTTTACTGAAGCAGAAATTGAGGTCAAAGTCGGCTGGGACCCCAGAGTGCCAGGGCCCTTACCCACGTTTCTGCCGCCCTGAGGGAAGGGCACTCAAAGCTCCAAGGCTCTTGCGTGTTTGAGGAGCAAAGCAGAGCGTGGTCTGGAGCCCCGGGCGGGCCGGGCAGAAAGGCTGGGCACACGCTGAGCTGTGGAGGCTGTGCTGGGAACGGGACACGGTCTGCAGGAAGGGCGCAGGGTTCCAGGCTGGGGAGCAGCGAGAAACCCGGGTGTGGACGGGAGCCTCGTGTTACCCTCGTCCTTGGCACCGAGGCTTTTCGAAACGCCTGTGGAGGGAGCCTCAGAGGAGC